TTTGCTGATAAAAATTATGTTCCTAATATCAAAAAAAAAAAAAAGACTGAAAAGATGTACACACAGACAGCAATGTGGTCTTTTAGATAATACAAACCCAGAGTCATTGGCAGCATGTTGCTACAAAGCAGATCAATGGTGTCCTTGTGTAATGTAGGAGGAAATATTGCTAAGGTTGAAGCCACTGTGTAAGGTAGAGAATCCAGTAGATCGTGCTCCAAAAATGGAACAAGGCATCCCAGAACCTTAAGAACATACTCCCCTATTTCTGTAAATAAATAACTCATATATACTCATGTCTTTTTCATATTCATTGTATATATATCAAAAAAAAAGATATCCATTTATTGATTTCACAGTTTTTCATCTACATTTCAGACTTCAATATCTGTTATGAAAAACATTAACATTTTCAAAAATCAAGCTCAGCTCTTGTAATTATAATTGTTTTGTGATTGGTTGACAGGTTCCTCCTGGCAAAAATTTAATACATACCTATCTGTTTCATCTGCATTGTAGGTACAATGTCAATCATATTCAGGATGGCATAATACAACCCTGTGTAGTTCAGATTAGGAAAAACCGACTGCCGCACACTGTCCCTCTGTCGTGGTCCATAGCTCTCTGCTGGAATGTTGGGGACATCCTTCAATACACTGGAAATAGGCAAAATAAGACTAGGAAGGTCACTTTGGCGTATGCTTACAAGTCAGGATTAGTCTCACACAAATTCAATGTTCAATTTAAAAACTATTAGTACAAACTATAAATTCAGTTGTCAGAGCTAATAAGCAACCCTAGAAGTTTCATACATGAAAGTCTAAATTTGGTAAATTTTTATCAGATATGAAAATGAAGCTGCTCTAGTAATGTAAATCTGGCTTCTTCTGTACCAATCATATGACATCTTTACCATCCAGCTGAAATGAACTCCACACACATCCTTGGAAGCAGCATCAATGTCAGTTTGGCTATGGTGCGACTTATAGATGCTAAGTAAAGAACCTGGTAAGAAACTTTAGCCTTGCAGTTCATCACAAAAGTATCGGTCAGATGTACCATCTACACTAAGTTTGAGTCTGTGATTAAATTATCAACATAAATTGTTGCTGCGTGATGCAGGATCCATCGAAGATGGTCATGAACTCATGGTGTTATATATTTTCTCTCTGTTGTAAGGGTGTTGTTACAATTATATACAGTTTATGCCTTAATGGGCTGTCAATCATTTCTTGCTATTAAAATATACTGCATAAAGGGTTATCCCCCCTCCAAGTTATTTTTGCCCTTTGACACTTGTAAAAAATTTAGTCTCCTTTAAATTCATTCACTTTTTCATGGTTCTGATCAAGAAATAATAGTGTTCCTTGACTTGTCCCACTTTAAATTCACCCAACTGAGAGTTGGGCAAAAGGTGCAAAAATAAAAGAGGGGATTGCACTGTATATATAATGTAGGTAATTTGTAAGCAGCTATTAAACATTACAAGCACACAAAAAATGCTCACCTTCTTAAAGTCTGGGAAAAGTACTTCAGTGTGTTTTCGATTTCAATCCCAGTGGGCTGTGGGGTCAAGTTGTTTAAAATCCGAAATCTATAGTCCTTTAGATTCTTGATCTTTGAATTGACTGAAAAGGATTGAGGCATGGATTGTGTCTATCACAATACAAAAAAAATCTAATGCACAGACATACAGAATAACTCATATTCATAAAAGACTTCCAGAGAATTAAAGTAATTAGTTTCTTTAGCATAATGATAATTGAAAGATGCCAATGTTCAGTTTTGTCCTAGCCCTGAAAGATTAACATTTTAAAATCAAGTCAAGCTTACTTTAATAAGAAAAGTTAAAGTCTAAGAACAAGTTCAAGATCCCAAGTCAGTGATTTGCAAAGGCTAAATTAGTAATGTACATGCTATATATTATCTCCCTTGTTTTTAAAATTAAAAAAAAAATATCAAATTGTTTACAATTTCACTGTGAAATGTCAAAGTTAAATATCAACAGGATCTAGGTCACGAGCTTACTAGCCCTTGTAATTTCTTATGAAATATATATACTCCAAAATTTTAACCGTTTTCCTCTTACAATTAATTCAAAAGATATATATGCATTAAGGCATTGATAAACAATTAATATATTAGGCAGATTAGAGACCAAGTGATGCTGGGCATATAGCCAAAATGATACCAAATACTCTTACTTGTGCTCCCAGAGCTCCCACTACATGAAGCAATTTCTCACATGTATATGTCTATGGGGCACCGTTTTAATATTTTTAAGGTATTTTCTGATATCAAAAATTCATTTTGTGATATCATAAATTGAATTTTTGATATCAGAAAATCATTTTTTGATATCAAGAATTCGAATTTCTGATATCAAGAAATCATTTTCTGATATCAAAAAATCTTCAGGATTTTATGATATCAAAAAATGTAATTATTGATATCAAAAATTCGATTTCTTGATATCAAAAAATATCAGTCATTTTCTGAT